TTTTCTATTCTGAGAATCAGAAGAAAAAAAACAACATCACTGACAGGAACCGTTTGGTTGTCCTTCATTGTAATGCAGACCTGTCAAATCTCATGTGATAAGTATCAGACTTGTTCTTTTAGCAACTGCTTTCTCATTCCCTACTGTGGCATCTCAAGTTCATGCATCAGCAGCGTGCTGTCATATGGCCTGATGTGCAAGCCTTGTCTGCTGGGATTTTAAGGATTTACAGAATTTGTCTAGGCCACAAACCCAAGTATCTATACAGCAGTGAAGCATCTTCATCTGCTGCAAATACAACTTCCATGGTTTACCCCATGACAAGATTCACTGTACTCTGTCTTCTAGCCTGAAAAGAAGTCCCCACAGACCTCAATGGGTGTGTATCTGAGATCTGTGCTTGAGACAGATTTTGTCTTTTTTCAGTGCCACATCTTCTGTCAACAGAATTTCTAGCTTCATTTTAGGACTGTATTTTGTTAATTTATGCTAGCCTTCTTGATGAAATAATGTTTAAAACTGGAAAGAAACTTTCCTGAGATCTTTGATCACCATTTTCTTGCTCCCTACACTTCCTGTTTACCTAGCTAAAAGATCCCATACTTTTTTTTTTTTAAAAAAAGGGAAAATCTCAATAAGGCATATCTCAATATTTACATTTTAAAATCATAATCCAGATTTGAAAATGTGGCAGACTGAGTCAGGGTGAATGGCCTTTATTCTTCATAAAGGACCCGTGATTCTCTTTTTTTTCTGTTCTCTGCATCCAAAGTCCAAGTCCAGGATTAGTCAAATGGCATGCAGGAATAAAATAAGTACTGTTTTCTGAAAGGTCAGCAGGAAAAAGAAAGCTATATGACATTAAGGAAGAGAACATGAGAGAAACCATTGTCAAGGGGTACAGATGTTTCAAAATGGCTGGCTTTTTTTTTTCTTTTTATCTAGCAAGCACCTTTATTTTCTTAAACCAAAAATGGTAAGGATTTCTAAATTAATCTAACAATTACAAAAAAGGAACTATGATCATTATTTAACTGCTTTTGTGTTATTATTCTCCATATTAACTCAGGTTTCTTCTACTTCTCAGTCTTACTTATTTGTGAATTTAACAGCATGGCCTACATTTTGAAAGTTTTGAAAGCACAGAAAATATTTACTCCTGATACACGCACTGAACTTGTGAAGTAAAAGTTACATTGTATTTGCATTATCTTTACTTATACAGACCTCCAGTGCAAACCTGAGAAACAGCTTTGTTAAATCTCCATCATTCCAGAATTCATGCATACAAAACAACTCTCTTGGTCACAAACCAGTCTCCTGTTACCTTTATTAATACAAGTTTTCTCATATTTCATATGGAGCTCTGAAAGTTATTGCTGTGTACTGCAGAATTAGTGTTTTGGGCAAAAAACAAACTGTGTTACAAAGATAGAAAAGTGTCATAAAAATCACACCGTTCTACATCTATATAAGTCAGATTGACTGTGCTAACTGTGTCACAGAAGTATGTTCATTCCAGGTTAGCTTTTGTGATGACTTACATTATTTGAATGACTATTTGCCACCACCTAAGAAGAATCAGTATTTCTCTTATTTTCTTTTGTTGAATTAGCAAATAGTAACTAACTTGTTCTGTGAATCTCATGATCCAGCATTTGGTATGAAAAAGAAAAAAAAAAATCAGTCCTGTGAGTGCTAGCAAATTAAAAGGAGGTAGTACAATCAATACAGCTGAAAATCTGATGTTCATAACTACTTCTGTGGTGTTCCTACCACTCCTGGTTAAATGAATTAGATATTATACTAAACTGGGTCCCTTGTATGTTAGAATTTGGTGAAAATAGCTGGCTCATACTAATTACATTTAAAAGGGAACTTCAAGTACACCATGCTCCAAAAATGTTAACATACTGTGACCCAGTGACTATTAATCAACAGAAACTCCTGCCTGATGAAAACGGTGCTCTGTGGACAGGATTATCACCACAGCATGACACTGGACTAAGATGTTTGAGGTAAAAAAGCTTACTTATCGCTAGCACCATACTATTTAGTTTCAATCCACTTCTTTCCAATGCCCTCTTCAAAAGCCTCTGAAGAAGATAGAAAGGAAAGGGTAAATTTTCTGCAAGACAACAAATAATAGACAAAAACTGAATAGTAAAAAACCACCTCACTATCATCTCTTCAATCAACACACAAAGAAAAATAACAGGGACAGGCTGGATGGAGCCCAGAGCACACTGGTGTAGTGAGTGCCATCCCTGCCCATGGCAGGGGTGTTGAAACCAGGTGATATCTAAGGGCCCTTCCAACACAAACCACTCTACGATTCTATGAAATTTCAGTGTTAATTGTGCATTCTTATGACTTCAACAATTATAGATATAGAAAAGTATTGTTTACGCAGATAAGCTGTTTGACATTTTCAGCATAAAAAAAAAAAGTCCATGCTTTACAGAAGGACATACAGCAACATAAAAGCAACACAGCTTTATATTCTATTGACAGTTCCCTGTATGGAGGTTTTAGGTGAGAGATTACTTCAAAACTTCAGTGCTGAGATAAATGCCAACATTTAAAATATGTGGAGGATCTTTGTCTTGGGATAAATTTCAGAACCTGGTATCATTTAGGTCTTGTAATTTTTAATGTGTCTGCAGACACCTACTTTAAAATTCGAATAGAATAATAAATCCATAGTACCCATTTTCTAAATTCTATAAACAAAAACTTGTCTGAATTCTTGAATACTTGAACGGGTCCAGAGAAGAGCAACCAGGCTGGTGAAGGGACTTGAACACAAGTCCTGTGAGGAGAGGCTGAGAGAGCTGGGGTTGTTTAGTCTGGAGGAGGCTCAGGGTTGACCTCATCACTCTCTACAACTCCCTGAAAGGAGGTTGTAGCCAGGTGGGGGTTGGTCTCTTCTCCCAGGCAATCAGCAGTAGGACAAGAGGGCACGGGCTTAAGGTCTGCCAGGGGAGGTTTAGGTTGGATATTAGAAAGAAGTTCTTTTCAGAGAGGGTAATCAGGCATTGGAATGGCCTGCCCAGAGAGGTGGTGGATTCACCGTCCCTGGAGGTTTTTAAGGTGAGGCTGGATGTGGTACTGAGAGCCATGATCTAGTAATCACAGTGGGATTGGATCAAGGGTTGGACTTGATGATCTCGGAGGTCTCTTCCAACCCAGTTATTTTTATGATTCTATGATTCTATGATCTACTCTTTCAAATATCTATTCAGCTAAGATTGAAAATTACATTCCAAAATGTGAAATGTTTTATGAAAAGCTATAGTTTAATATATTTAGGATTATATTATATATTTATAATACTTTCTAAAAACAAAACCTTATAAAACAAAGCTTTCACAGGAGAAGCTCTGTTTTTCCCTAACTGATTGATAATAACACAAATGATAAAACAAAAATGATAACACAAATTGATAAAAACACAAATGCCCTGCTCACAGAGGGAAATCGGTTGTTACTCATAATTTTTTCCATAGATATTCATCTAAAATCAATAGTAAGAATAAATTGCATGCATCAAATAATAAATCAACTCTTAGCTGTCCATACATGCATGCACACATACAGATAGCCTAAAATGCCGAGCAAATTCATGATTTACATGCCCACAATGGCAGAAAGAGCAACATTTCATGTTTCATGCAGGAAGGAGGAGTGAGCTGCAAAAAGAATGCATGAGGTCTTTAAAAAATACTCCACTTATTTCCTATTTTCATATTATAGTGGGGTAGGTATAAATAGCTGCAAATGAAATTAAAAACAGAGCTAGAATGAAATTTCTTCTGGCATCCACATTCATGTCTCTATTATGCAGTTTGCCCACGTCACAGCTCCCATGGGTGATTGACTTTATGCAATACCATGTGTACATAGAAGTGGATAACACACAGGGCAAGCTGTTGTTTCCATGCTGCCTCAGCCACTGTCCCTGCCCTTTCCTCTGTCTGGGATGTGACCAGCTCTCAAACCTTGGGCAGCCATTGCCAGAGTGAGTCACCCACACCTCATCTTTACCCTTTCATTAGAGCAGAATATGCCAAATCTTCAATTTGGCTGCAACACCCTTTATGCATTTTCCTACTCTCTATGGACCTGCACTTTTGGGCCAAAGGTAAATATGGGTTTTGCATTAGAAGATGGGGTTACATGAAAAGTGCCAAGAAGAGATTTAAAACATCATCTTGGACAATAAAAACCACCACTTCATAATGACCTTGCTACAGACATCAAAACTATTGCCACCCAGAAGCGATGGCCCCATGTCCACGGGGGGGTATTGCCATCGCACAGCAGCACGGCCCTGCCGTCTGCTCCTGTTTGTTCACCACCGCAGAAAATCCAAGCGAGGCAACAGACAGCAAGACATGGGGGTGCGATGAGGACGAGGACCAGGGACTGTCATTGTGCACAGCGCGGACATTGACGAGTCGAAGGGCGCTCGGCCTCGCACATCCCCAGTGCCGGCGGCGGGGCACGAGGCGCGGCCGGCGGAACGGGACCGGGATTAGGATAAAGAGCCCGGAGCGGGGATAAATGGCCGGCAACAGCCCCGTGGCACCGGCACTGCCGGCTCTGCCCTCCCCCGCCCGCAGAGGGCGCTGTGCAGCGCCGCGCCCGGGCCCGGCTGCGCCTTTCCCGCTGCATGGAGCGCCTCCGGCAGCCCTCTAGCGCCGCTGCCAGCGCTGCCCCGGCGGCAGCAGCCGGCCCGGAAAGGCAGCGGGACCGGCCCCCCCAGCTCCTTCCACGATCTCCGCCGCAGCACGGGCACAACGCGACATCCCTTCCCCACACCTAGACCAGCGCGCAAAGAGCCACGCGCGCCCCGCGGCCCCGCCCGCCCCACGGCCGGGCGCTGAGCACCCTGGGAGATGTAGTCCCTCCTCCCCGACCCGGCGGCGGCGGAGCCGGACAGGAGGACTACGACTCCCGGGGGCTCGAGGGGCGGAGGGCGGGGCGGGCAGGGGGCGGAGCGGGGACAGCTCCGGTGCTGACCGCGACGCGGGTTTGCCGGGAGAGCCCGGGCGGGCGGCGGCGGCTGCCGGCGGGCGGGTGCGAGTGGCGGCGTGCGGGCGGCGGGGCCGCGCCCGGCCATGAGGCACGAGGCGCCCATGCAGGTCGGTGCCCGGGGCGGAGCCGAGCGAGGGGAGCGGCGGGACGGGACAGGAACCTCTTCTCTCTTCTGCCGGGGGGAGAGGACGAGGACACCCCTGCCATGTCTCAGGGGTCCGTGCGAGGGGCCGTGTCCCCGTGAGGGCTCTGCCCGCCGCGGCGCGGGGGGGCGGCGGGTCCTCGGGCGGCACAGGCCGCGGGCGGGTTTCGAGGCACATTCGGGCACATCGGGCTCGCAGCTCTGCTGTGACTGGGTGTCAGTTGTTGGGTGTATCGAGGCCCTGTCGGGATGTGCAGAAAGTTGGCAGGACGCCTCCATCTGTTTATTAGAGGAGCACTTATCCATCTGCATCGGGCAGAGGTGGCTCTTGGCTAGAGCAGGGTGTAGCAAAAGAGGTGGCCCCTTTTCAGCAGTTTTTCTATTTATGGAAAGATATAACACCCCTCAGCACTGGAGTAGAAAGTGCTGTATAGATACAAGTTACATCACGCAGAGTTTTTAGCAGTTTCTAGATTGTTGACTCTAAACAGTTTATGCTGGTCAGCTGTACTTCAGTTATGAATTAGGACCTAGTTTGTAATCACATGTAGAAGCTCTGGAGCCCCCAGACTATACATTTGAACACATGACTGGTTTTTAGTAGAAAAGTGGATTGGTAACCATCATTTTGCAATCAAGTACAAAGAGCACTTTTGCAGTCTGCTGTGATTTAGGTGATGAACTGCAGCCCTGTCAGCTAATGTTTTTCATGCTGGATATCTACTCTGACATAATAAAATTTCTGTCTGAAGGGAAGATCTGCATCCTTTTGCATGCTGTGTGCATATATCAGAATTGTTTATGTAGTATTTTTTACTTATTCATGCATGTTTATTGAGCTACTGAAGACGTGTTTAGTGTGTATTGGTTTTGGAGAGCATTTCATTAAATGGAAATTTTGCTAGTAAAGGGTGAAAACTGTAGATTGGTCTCTACCATATCTGACATTTTTGTCAGGTTGTTGAATTCACTAAAGTTCTTAAATAGTTGTGGAAAAAAGTGGTAGTGCAACATTAAAACAGAATCTAAGGAAAGGAGAGTCCAAATATAAAAAAAAACCACAAAAATTGTACTTGACAACCAGAGAATGCCTTCTTGGCATTTTTATGGATTGTCAGAACAAGTGGAATTATTGTTAAACATAATTGAGTAAAAGTCAGTAGAAAACACAGCCTCAGTATAAAAAGAGACAGCAGAACTCTATAACCCTGCCTGTAAATTCTGTTTTTTCAAGACTTCTGACATTGTCAGAAGTCCTTTTTTAAGTGTCCTTTTTTAAGTATGTTTCATCCAAAATTATAATTATACTCGTCTGGATTCTTCCAAGATGTGAAAATGCAGTCTGGCAGAGAGAGAGTTTGATTTTCAGTTGTAGTTTTGAGGGTTTGTTTTTTTTTTGTTTCTACTACTTACACTATTCCTAGCATAATAAAATATTATTCCTGTAAAAGATTCCAGTAAGACAATTTTCTTTTGTGGATTCTTCTTAAGAATCTTGTTTTCCAGCATTAGGCTAACATGGTTGAACCTTTTTCAAATGGGCTTTAGACTGCCTGAACTAATTGCTTGATTCATCTCTTTTAGTTATGTGATTTCCTATTGCATGAAACAAATGTAGTTGCTTCTTTGCACACAACAGTATTATGAAACAGTCCGTTGCAGAGCTATCATCTCTGAATTGTAGAGCAAGGGAAAAAGTGTTCAAGTATATGTCTTTTGATCATGACAAAAACAACTTGGAGGAGAGTAAGCATTTTTTTCCATTTCCACCAAGCAATAATTTAAAAGAAAACTAAAATGTTAAAATATTTCAGTAGGATGAAAAAAACCCAGACTGAGTACTTTCTATATTTGTGAATTCTTTCAATTGCATTTCATGCTATTTCTCTGAAGACAGAAGTGGCCAGCAATTACCACAAAGGCAGTCCTTCCAAGAAAGAGTGGCCTAGTGTGAAAGTTTGCTGTTGTCATCTGCTTCATGTATATGGATCTGGGTCACAGCTGTGACTACTTTTCATTTTTCTAACCATTTTTTAAGAACAGATATCAGTCTTGGTAGTGCTTATGGTGGTGGAGAGGTCTTAAGAAGTCAAAAGTAATGAGTTCTCTTTTCTGTGAAACATTGAATTCTGTATGGTTTCTGCGTATTCTTCTAGGATTTGGTTTGAGTTACTTGAAATGTCTATGTATCTCTCAGTAGTTTCCCTAAGGGTTTCATGGTACTTTCAAAGGTGAAGGTTCAGTGGGAAATTCTCAGTGATTCACACACCCATTCACTGGCTTCTAGTTTCATTCCTTATCTGATTGTCACCATCATGGCTAGGCTTCACGAATGAAGATTTGAGAAGGGCTCTACCCACACTTGCTACAAGTGCGCTGATGGCTAAAAAGGCCAATGCGAGATAGACAAGTCCGGTTGCAGAAGGCACAGCAGAAAGACTCCCCAGGTGATATCAACAAGACGCGATTCTTTCTGTGTTGTCTTTTCTCCTCGAGAGTGATCCCGTGTGTGTTCTCAAAAGAAGCAGCAGTGTTGTAAATAGAGTGTTTCCATGTATCCCAACTGGAGGCCAGAGTAGACCAGTGGTGGTGATCAATATGGCCAAGGCTGAGGGATTGTTTCAGGCAGTCCTTGTATCTCCTCTTCGGGGCTCCTCTCTTGCGGCAGCCAGTGGCAAGTTCCCCATAGAGCACGATCTTAGGGAGGCAGCAGTCCTGCATCCTGGAGACGTGCCCTGCCCAGCGCAGCTGTGTTCTCAGCAGCATGGCCTCAATGCTCGTGACTGCTGCCTGTTCAAGGACAGACGTGTTGGTCACACAGTCAGTCCAGTGGATGTTTGGGATTGTACGGAGGCAGCGCTGATGGAAGCATTCTGAGACGCAAGTGGTGGCGGTAAATGACTCATGATTCGGACCTATATAAAAGAGTAGACAGTACAATGGCTCTGTAAATGCTGATCTTTGTACTTTTCTTCAGATGTTTGTTTCACCAAACTCTTTTATGGAGTTTACCAAAGGCTCTGTATGCCTTTGCTAACCTGTTGTCTATTTCTGCATCAATCTTACCGTCTGAGGAGATGATGCTTCCCAGATCATTAAACTGCTGGACTGACTTGAGCTCTGTTTCGCCAGTGGTGATATGGGGATGATGGGAGACTTCCTGAAGTGCAGGCTGATATAAAACTTCTGTCTTCTTCAAGCTGACTTCCAGCCCAAAAAGCTCAGCAGCCTCTGCAAAGCAGGATGTTATGGAGCTACTTCTGTGTGGGTGACGAGGGCAACATCATCTGATTGTAGCATGCAGATTTCCCACATACCTGCACTTTGCCAAAATACAAAAAGAACTGTAATTTGGATAACCTGTTCTTAGTATTTATTAGTGCATATGGACATCAATGGTAGAAGTTTGTAGAAAATGTAGATAATTTTTTCCTTAGCTTTTCATATCCTGTTGTCACTGGCAGTGGTTATGTAAGATAGATTTATAACAGACACATCCAAACACAATGGAGAAGGGCAATAACAAACAAAAAGGCTGCCTACAGATATTGAAGAAGTATTATAAAATTGTGATGGGAAAAACCAATCAAATCTATTAGATGCAAGAGTTTGCATGGCAATTCAGCTCCCATCACTCTGCAGAATTATTGGATATGTCAGTCTCAATTCAAATTAGAAGCACTGGAATACAAGAGCCTGCCAAGCCACTGACTCCACAGAAAAACTCATATACACCTTTTTGTTAACTGATTAAGCTGCATCTGGAGTCTGTAGTCCTTTTTCTGTCATTACCTACTTTTCGAAGTGTATTGTAGAAACTCACTCCCTTTCTGATTAGATACTTATTATTCTCCAGCACAGAGGCACTCGGGGCTAGTTTATACTCACTTATTAATGTCCGGTGTCTGCTTCAGTTTACACCAGTCCAAATAGTTCTCATTGCATGATGGCCAGATTACTATCTAGAGAAACAAGCTCATGTTTTGCTTTCTGTTTTTTGGACTTTTTGTTTCATTTGGTTTTGATTTTTTTTAATTATATTTATTTTTTTGTCATAAGGTAAGCTCTTCCTTCTTGTAATCTTTCTAATAACCTTTCTGTGTATTTTCCAAAGACAGATAATGGCCCAGCCTACATTTCTGCTTCCCTTGAAACATTTTTTGCAGTGATTTAGATTTTCCTGTTTGAAAACAGGTTTTGTAAATACATTTGACCAGAATTGTCACTAACACTGTCTCAACAGGGCCCTAGACAGTGGCATTAGTGTTTCACTTTGTCTCTTGGCCTGATGGAACTGCTCTGGCAAGTGAAAAGTTGCACAGTCTTTCCTAGTCTCATGCCCCTGAGTGCTGTACTAGGTGGAACAAATGACAGAAGCTTTAACCATCTTGTCTTCATTTTCTTTTATACCCCCTGGTAAATCCAAATTTCTCCTGGAGTACCTGGGCTGACTCAGCTTTTATTTTTTATTTTCAGCGCTGCACTATTTTGGTGGCCTCTGTGTTAGACTAACCTATATGGGACTATATCTTTGGTTTTGCCTCTATTTGGAAAACAGCCTTTTAATGTACTACCTAGACTGGTAACTAGAAATATGGTTCTTAAGCTACCCTTTTCATGGAGAAAGTAAATTTCCAGAACTGTTTTTTACTTACCCTAAATTCTGCTGTTCTGGGCAGCTGCTACCAGTGTGACCACATTCATGATAGTTCTGTTGATACGAAGCAAATAGAGCTTCTTTGAAGTGTTTTAGACCTCACCTTTCAGTATCTTTTTGGTATATCCCAACTTGGCATTTCAGCTACTTAAAAAAACCTTTGCATTTCTAACTACATGATTCAGACTGGGTAGTGGGATGTTTACAGATATACATGACTCTAACCTCATAATACCTTGAAGCAGATAAGCTTCTCCTGATGCTACCAACTACATTAGTTTACAAGCTGTGCTCTGCAGATGTCTGGCAATCAGCAAATTCCAAATAAGTGGCCGGTGCATTGTCTACTGAACTCTGTTAAGCCTTATTAATTGGTAAGTTAAAAAAAAGATAATAAGGATTTGTGAGAATTAGCTGTATTCTGCATCTGTGGATACTTATGTATTTGTTGAGATCCCACCAAAAGTACAGGAGGTTAATTAACTTGCCCAAGACGTAGAAGAGAAGAAAACAGAAGTCATAGGATGCCTCTGAAAGAGTTAAGAATAAAGTCCAATCTCTAGATTATTAGTCTGATATTTTAACTAGAAAATAATTAATTTCTTCATGATTGGGTTATATTGCCACAAGGTATGTGTGTGTGTATATATATATATATGTATGTGTATTTATATGTATATATATGTGTAAGAGTTTTGGAACATTTTAGCTACTTTGATGATGCAATTTGATCTACACATGAAAGACAACTAATGTGCAGTGTCACTCACTTGCACATCCTGTGTACAGTTTGGTGAATTACAGTCATCGAATTTTTCCATCGTATTTCATTGTTTCAATATCCATTTGTTATGTTTGACTAATCATATTTTACAAAGGCAGAAAGATCACCTTGCAAAAGGCTGCACGTACAGGGAACTCTTTTTTTATTAAAATACCAGGTAAAGTCAATTTCTTTTTAGAAGCAATAGAAATGTATATATCTACCGTGTTTCTAGAAAAGGACTGTTGCTCTTTCCACTGCAACCAAATTGTTCTAAAATAAACCTGCCATTTGTGTCTGGTCAATGTCATTTCACTTTAATCCAATTCCAAGGATCTGTTAAAAAGAACCTCAGTTACCCCTCCTTCAGGGATGGGTTGTAGCAACACTGTTTATAGGAAAGTGGTCTTGCTCTTTGAAAAACTGTAAATTACCTAGTCAATGTCTGTCTATCCTTATTGTAGATAGAAATAAGGCATTTTCCCTGGGCTTACTATTGATCTTTTCCTTTCAGACATGCCTGTTATTGGAGTTTTTAAAAGAAAACAGTATATTTGTGAAAGGCATATAGGAATGAATTTCAGTATTTTCAGTCTCAGGTTTTCTTGCCTTTTGCATCATATTTTCCAGGGGCAATTCATCCTGCATTAAAGCATCCATAGTGGAGTGCACATAAAAGTGCAAACTAAAGTCATGTGCACTCCAAGGAGGTCACAGCATGCTGCTGTGCTGAAAAGCTGTTCAAATTCTATCAAAGAATGAGGTCCTCTAAGGCATAAAGAATAACACGGCCAAATGTTTTGTTATGATTATGAAGGTGGCAGGTAAACACACAGTTTTTCAGACATTTGTCCTCAACTCTGTGTTTTCACCTCTTCTTTTGAGATCAAGGAAACAGCTGAGCATGCAACTTGAAAAGTATCTGGATGTGATGTAGAAAACTCTTCTTAATGATTAAACTTGCCTATGCCCATAAATAATCCTTATTAAAGGAATTTAGAGATGTACTGGAAGCAGGGGAGCACAAAAGCTATGTTTTTTTGTCCTTGCACCATATTCAAGCTGGCAACATACCTCCTTCCAGCTTTGATAAGGAACAGGCATGTCAGACTTCTTGACTGTAGGTTTTCTGTTTGTTGTCTTGAGATTAGATTTCCCAGTGGACTCTCACGTCTGTCCTAAGTCCTCTAGGAGGTGGCTTGAGACTGCATTTGTTACTAACACCCTGATGTATGTAGGGATATGAATAGGGACTCATTCTACAAAAAAACTCAAAACAAACCAAACAACCAAGTCTGCAATTTGCTAATGAAAATAACCTTATACATTTTCTCTTCAGTTTTACTAATAAGGACCAAATTGTACCGAAGAGAGAATTCAATGTGTTTAGTTGGAAGTAATGCTTTTTTGATATATTCATTTAATATTTGAAAAAATAACCTTGTCAAAATAAAGGTAAGAGTTTTGCTTTAATGGAAATATAATATTATTAGAGAGATTTATTTCGTTCTCATCTATGTATGTAATGTTTAAATAGAGGTCGGAACAGGACTTTTCTAGTGATTGTTTTCAGCATCGTTTTGAAAGGAGGAACGTAGCATCAGCACTTACTTCTTCACGTTTCTTTTACAAATGCCTCCAGTAGTAGCGACAAGCGCTGTTAGGAATGAACTGACATATTAATACATCAGGGAGTCGACTACAGTGCATTCCATATTTACTTTAAGTCAGCAGCTTTCATTTAAGAAGGAGAAGCACTTCTGGCTTATTCACAAAGCTTGAGAGGACCAAATACGTAGACTTCCCTTGCAGCAGAAAAATAGAGATTCCTCTGGAGTATTGTTCAGAATGGGAGCCTAATGTAAATTGTGCTTGGAAGAACATATCTCTTTGCTTACTACAAAATGAGTGAGTTTTGGAAGTAATGGCAAAGCCTTAGCACCTGTACGGAGTTTGATGTGTCTTGACACTAGTGTATGCACTAGTACTTTTCTAAAACTCATTTGGCCTTTGGACATAAGAAAGGATTATTATCCATAGTCTAGCGAGACTGGCTCTCTAGGCTAAAGTTAGTCTCTCCAAACAATTTGAATTGCTAACAATACCTCACTAATCCTGTTGGAGAAATTAGTCCTTTCTTATGCCTTTTTTTAAGAAATTTTAATCAAACTATTGCATGGATAGTGCACATAACCACATTAATTTAGAGGAGCTCTGAAGTTTCTCTGTAGGTGAAGTCTATGTTTAAAACTATCCATGGGAAGCACATTCTTATTCAGGAAGGCTACACAATGTATGAGATTTAGTAGGACTGTTATTAGATTCCAGATCTCCCTAGTTGTCTGCTCACTGAATCATACTGTTTCTGAAGTGTTAGGCATTAAAGTAAGTGGGGATGAATTGTAAGCCACATAGGACTGAGGGCAGCAAATAGAATGGAAGATAAAACCTCTTTTTGTAAATCTTAAGCAAGTTGAAGAAGCTACATGGAAGTCTTCTTAGGAGATAAAATCAAGAAAGAATATGATGCTCCTTCTTGTAACAAATGGTGACTCTTGGCTTCAGCTGCTGCATAGCAGAGAGAAGCCAGGAGGGTGATGAAACAGGCTACTGGGGCAAGGACACAGGTTGCAGACCCTGGCATCCACAGCCACTGCACTCTTTTGTCGGATGGACTTCATTGACTTGGTGTAAATTGTACGCAACCTTAGCATGGCCTTTACTGTTTTATAATCAGTTGTAATTAGACTGCTATAAACAGCATTTGATTTTCTCACATTCTCAGCAAAATATCCCCAAATAGTTATACATTAAGGGAGAGTAGTGAAGGTTTTTGTCTTTTCTATAGAAATCAGAAAGCTAAAAGATTAGCAATGTGTATGTTTGGTAATATGTAGGGTTTTGAACTAAAGCTTCTTTGTTGCATGCCTGTGGAAGAAGTGATTAAATTTCAAGGCCAATGCAAATACTCAGGTTGCAAGCATGTAGGTACCCAAGACTACATTTAATGAAGAAGGTAATTCTGAACTCAAAATCTGAAATCAAATGCTCACTACTGTATTATATATTAAATATATATCTTACACTGAATTTTTTTTTAAAAGCTTCCTACTTCCATTGTCTTCTTCAGGACTTTTTGTCCCTACTATTCCTATAAGCCTCTTCAGTAGTCCAAAGAAGCTGGCATACTGTTATTTGTGCTATGAAACAGCAGAATTAGCTCAGAAAATTTGTGCACTAATTAAAATTCTGATGAGAAGGTGCGTCAGTGTACAGCCGTCACCCTGGTTCTGGCTGTCCCTTCTGATTGCCCAAAAGGACTCTGAGATGCCTGACTTAGAAAGCTTTTACATGAACTGTGTTTCTGTAAACCTTTATGTTAGGATACGGTGGCTGTCCTTCTGTCTCAAATCAGTGTGTAAAATCACATTCAAAAAACTTAAGGTTTGCCTTAAGGATTTCAAAATACTTGAGATTTTTTTCTTAAAAACCACGTGAGGTGTCCCTGTGCATAACTGCCACTTATGATGATGTTGTATTAACACTGGAAATTCAAAAAACTGTAGAATATACTAGTACTAGAAAAAAGTCAAGACCTTATTTCAGATGTGTATACCCAACTCACTGTTCAATCGTATAATAATTAAAATCTGGTAAAGGCAAAATGCTTCGAGGCATGGAGAAGATAACAACATATTTACAGTAAAATGTTTCAAGAATTTTATTAAGTGTAAAACTTACTCAGCTTTTGCTTGGAAATACACCTACAATGTCATAAAGCTGCACTGATCTCTTATTTCGTTCTTGTACAATTGAAGTATCTTCATCTATACTCTGACCGTCTGTTTCATTCATCAAGTTTTCTGAAGTCAGATCTTTTTAGTTGTATACTCATAAACTTCCGTGCCCTGGATTTTTAGTATTATTGCTTTTTGTTTTGGTACTAGTCACCAGTGATGCTTACATCCTCTTTTGCTACCAGAACTATTACTACATAAATTAATTATAAAAGAAGAGTTAGACTTCTGTGAACTTCTTCTTGAAGTTTATATTGAAGTGTGCACATTAGTAATATTTCAAGTAGGTGTTCTTCTTGAACTTCATTGATACATGGTATGAAAAACTGCAATAAAATCTAAATGTCTCAAGTTTTGTATGATACAAGAAACCATAAACTGTTTCTTTTTATTTTGAATTACAGATGTCATCCGTTCAAGATTCCAAATATGGCCAGAAAGATACATCTGACCAGAACTTTGATTACATGTTCAAACTGCTCATTATCGGCAACAGCAGTGTTGGGAAAACCTCCTTTTTGTTTCGATACGCTGATGATTCCTTTACGTCTGCGTTTGTAAGCACGGTTGGGATCGACTTCAAAGTAAAAACAGTATTCAAAAATGAAAAAAGAATTAAGCTACAGATTTGGGTAAGCTAAAAATAATAATTCTGTGAATTAAGAAAGCTGTAGCAGTCTGATAGCATTTACGCTACTGCAGGTTTACATTGAATGTCATAACTTTATATATAGACAGCGAGAGAGCACAGTATTGGAAAAGCACTTAATTATTTCCTGTGTAATCTCTCTATCTTGAATAATAGAATACAGACAGTATTTTTAAGGTATTGAAGTAGAGTAATTATATATTCTGAATTAAATTCCTTTAGGAAATAAAACAGGTTGACACATATTGATATCTGTGAAGTGAGATACAAAGCACTGTGCAATATATATATTTCAATGTTATATTGAAATACCTTGAAATATCAGTTTTAGGTCTGGTGTATTCCCATAAAAAATTATGAATTCTTGTAGGAGCTATGATAATGAATGCGTAACAGAAGGTGTAATTTTTTGCTCTGTTAGTTATGTTTGTCATCCTGATCATCTGAAACATCTTCCTTCTTCAGCTGAGGAATAGTGCAAAGGTATAGTGTTGCTAAGGCATACAAAACCCATCATTCCTTGCCTACACCTTAGAGATGATAGAAGGATACCCAATGTAGAAAAGTGTGATGCTAGGGAATAGGTAAAATGAAATTATATCCAAAAATTATTTCATAAAATCATAGAATATTTTGAGTTGGAAAGGACCCTCAAGGATCATTGAACGCCTCACCTGGCCCTGCACAGAACAGCCCCAAGAGTCATGCCTTGTGCCTAAGCACATTGTTCAAACACTTCTTTCACTCAGACGGGCTTGGTGTTGTGACCACTTCCCTGGGAAGCCTGTTCCAGTGCTCAGCCACCCTCAGGATGAAGAACCTTTTCCTAATATCCAACCTAACCCAACCGACTCAGCTTCAGGCCATTCCCTCAGGTCCTGTCACTGGTCAATACAGAGAAGAGATCAGTGCCTATCCCTCCACTTCCCTTCGTGAGGAAGCTGTAGACTGCAATGAGGTCTCCCCTCAATCTCCTTTTCTCCAGGCTAAATACACCAAGTGCCCTCAGCTGCTCCTCATATGGTTTCCCCTCAAAGCCCTTTGACATATCGGTGGCCCTCCTTTGGAAGCTCTCTAATAGCTTTATGACCTTCTTATATGGAGGCATCCAAAACTACACACAATATTCAAGGGAGGCATCTAAAACTACACAAAAAACTACACCAGTGCAGAGCAGAGCTGGACAGTCCCCTCCCTTGTCTTGTCAGTGATGCTGGGCCTGATGCACCCCAGGATTTGACTGGATTTATGGCAGATTTGCTGATGCTTACATCTGCTAGCTCTTGGGTGAAACTCAGTAAAGGAGAGGGAGGAATAGCAGGGCATTTCATAATGTGAGACCTGGAGTTAAAGCTTCAGATCTTTACTATCTTCCTGGGGTGCTTGAAGATTTTGAGCAGTATTTCCTTGGTGAGACATTCATAACAGCCTTAAACCACACATTTTTTGTTTGAGTTATTTTTGGTTCATGAATACAAGTAATTTAAAATTCATTTAATGATGGGCAGTCATTAAATCTCAGAAAACCTGAGATCAAATCTGAGCAGTTCTTCTAACATTATTTGAACAGCAGATATATTATGTATCTTTTTAATATGGCACAAAGGAGAATTTTCCAGAGCTTACTAGGGTCTGTCTCATTCATGTTTTTTTAGATAGGCTTCAGCCCTTGGTACATCAATTTGTTGTTCTGTGCCCTCTAGGACCAAAGAATTTTGCTTCTCAATCTTTTTAAGCTTAAGTTATTGCTATTATCATTAGTGAAATAGCATTACATACTAGGTTACTGTATATCAAATGCATGGTTTCACTTTAGTAACGTGCTAGTTTCATTGTAGTAATGTTGGAGATAATGTCAACATTGCCATTTTTTTATAAAGGAGCAATTTAATTGTGTTCATATTATAGTCTTCACACAGTTCTTTAATCACCAAGTATCCACTACAATAGATTTTATTGTTCATGTCTCTCCTAGCAAGAGCAGCAACGCTAGATTATAATGTTGTAGTAATGTGATTAGCATACTTTTCATCTCTTCATGTCAGACTTCAAATGTGTGCTTGGTTCAAAGTTGTCCAGCGATCTAGATGTGTTCAGGTCTATCCACAGCATAGAGGGGATGTAGCAGTAGAAATCTTTCAAGCTGGACTGAACTTCCAGGTCTAGCAAAATCTTCATTTTGTTGTTCTTTGCATGATATTAACGTTCAGAGTCCAAGCAGGACTCTGACAGTCCTTGCCTGAAAAAACCTGCAACCAAAATGAGTGAAACAAACTCAAGAACTCCATGTCCCTTACAGAAGAGGAATGAGAGGCACAGAGCATAGAAGAGACCTTCCTGCTTCAACTTGAGGTGAAGAGTCACATACCAGGATGTAGGCACATGATGTAGGATTAGAAACAAGACTTCAGATCATACTTTCATGCTAAAGGTTTTTATCCTAGCCAGTGTTGTATCTTTCTTTGTGGTGGTGGTGGGGCGTTTCCCCCCCTAAATTTTTAATGCCAGTTCTTAAAAGGCCTTGTCATTGCCAAATCAACTCAAATTGCACAGCTCACTATAGCTGTTTAGATGGAGTATTTTGCATTGGAGCATTGTTTTGCAGTTAACCTTGCTAGTAAATTGGTTGACTGTTGCACTTCTGGGACCTTCAATAAAGTCAGTAAATAAGTAAAGAGTCTCAGAAAGCTATTCTAGTGCACAAAATCAGAAGTAGAGCACTATTATCCCATCTCATAAGTTATATCAACAGCAGTATTGTTCTTAATATCTATATATGTAACTTGTGTCTGTATTATATTATACTTTATTATTTTTCTTGCGTTATGCAGATACCTTTCTAAAACGAAGAGTACTCCTGTGATATCCATTTCAATTTCAAACTGCATGTTTGAAAGAGCATTTATATTAGATAAAATATAAAATTGAATGAGTCATAGTGAGTGTGATTTGATGTTAATGCTGAGTAGAACATGCATGAGGTTATAACACTTCCTTCAAAATCAGTGGCAAAGTATTTGATAACATCATGTGATAATGTATTCAGCATAAATGAAATAAAATATTATCAAAAATCCAACAGTTTTATATAGTCAGAAGAAACTGGAAGTGCAACTTTAAAATATGTTCTGAATGACAAGATCAGAACTGAATTACTTTGCCATACACTTAAGTGAAGGAATACATGGAATGATGCTGCTCTGATGTCCTTGCCTGGCAGTAGAATGCAAAAAGTGTAAATAGTAATGCTGTTAAGCCACTAAAATTCCCTAGCTAGAGCACAGTTAATCCAACATTTGTCCTGTTAAAATTTTTACATATTCCTCTAGGGTAGACATTTCAACTTCCTGTTTAATAGTGCTTTCAGCATGATACTTTGTCTTCAACGTGGAGTATGTTTCCAGAGAATAAGATTCTCATGTGCTTAGCAGGGAAGGATGCAAGTTTGTTGAAAAGTCAATATAGGCATTCAAGGAAGCAGAGTTATTTACTTATTAGTTAATTTCACAATGTGATTATCACAGATGAACTAGGAAGCGTTAACAGGTTGAAGGAGGTGTATTCTTTCATATTCAGATGCCCTGCAGATCTTTTGTTTGTTTGAGGTTTTTCTTGCTTGGAGGGAATGGTATCTTATTTTTGAAGTTAATTGTCTTCTTTCATTGTTCGAGTCAGGGAGGATGGGTCTCAATCTAGTCCTTGTTACATCTATTTCATATGGTCAGAAGGAGCCTGCTGGAAGCACTGTAACATTTGCTTGTTTTCCTCCTGATCCAAACACCTTCTTTCAAACAATATTTATTACTGGGTTTGAGAGAGGTACAGAGTTCAAGTACAATATTCATTAGTGATAGCACATTACCAAATCATAGGACCACCAGCAGGTTCTGAAATTTTGTTTAATTGCATATTATAAATGTGACAACCTGGTATGGATATTAGGAAGACATAATATTAACATATTTCTTACCTTTTAGAGGAGAGCAATCCATAAAAATTATGGGTTTACATCAAAAGGTATTGATTTCTCATTTGAAACTAAAGAAAAAACAAATTAAAGAAATTGTGTCTGGATGCAGCACATACATGCATAGGATAAAAGTCTACTAAAGAGCTTTAGGGTGCTTTACAGAGTCAAATAATAAGAAGCAATATATTTTCCCTCCCTTGAGCTAGTAATATTAAAGGAAAGGGATGGAACTAGAAGGCCGTAAGATTCTCTCACTTTAAAATGCTAGATTTCACATTATGTTGAATTTTAAAAAAAATATCAATACCAATTCAGACAAAATTGCACACTAAATAAAATTAATAAAAGATTGAAGAGGTGCAAATTAGAAAACAAAAACAAACTTAACCTTATAAATCTGTCACTGTACTAACTGTATAAATCCCTATGCTCAGTATATTCTGTAGCTGTGATTCTAGAAAGGTTTACATTACCTTTGTGAGCTCTGTCAATGGTATAATAGAAATAATAACCTGAAACAGCTTATGAAGAAAATACAGACTTATTTGAACAGTAGAATTTGTTAGCTACTGTGTCAAAATAAACCATAGAAAAGGGAGGGAAAAAAAAAAGAAAAATAAAGTCTGGTTCCTAGAAGAAAGAATAAGATTTACAAATACAGCACTAGCCTTAGACTTGAAGGACTAGGGGCAATGATCACACATATATCCTCCCAGAGAAGGCAGGGTAAGACCTGCTTGTGTCAGCATATCCTTCTTGGAAGTGTTTGTGATAGTTTCATTTGATACCCAAAATGTTGCTGCCTTCACATCAACAGTTTTCTATAAATTATCATAGGCCTTAGGGACTAAGTGACTACTAGGTTTTGTAAGTTGACTGAGGAAATCCAGTGTTATCATTCAATAATTAAAACTATAGTAGCTGTTAAAAAAATCAATAGGTGTTGGGCACCTGTTTTTTTTTCCCCTAAAGCTTCCTAGCAGCCCTTTATCAGCAAAAATAGTTCACTAAAA